GAAAAGCCGAGATCGCATATAAGACGATACATCTCATCAGCAAACCTAGAGCTGCCAATTAAACCTCGTAATCTGTCTTGTAGGTGCATGATGACCCGCGTCATCTGCGAGCCAAAGTTTATCAGGGAATTTGTTTCCTTCATGGAGCTGTTGTAAGACCGGACTTTTTGGTAAAGGTATATCAGCTGGTTTCCAAGCTCGCTGTCTATGGTAGAGCTATGGGTGTCTTCGTCGTTGATACCAAACATTCTTGTCACCATGTCATCGTATAGTCCCTGGTTATCTTCGAAAATCCGGGAGATTTCTTCGATGGTGGATTTGCTGTCCTCATAGGTGAAGATAAGGAGCTCGTCCCGCAGCTTCCCACAGGACCGTTGGCTTTCCAAATCTAGGACTGTTAGCAAGATTGTGGCAGACCGATGTGGTTCGTACTTTTGGCAATACAACTCATGGTATTCTCAAGGGTCTCAAGAAACGAACGAATCGTAACCTGTGACTCCTCACTCCTTTTCGTGGCATTTTTTTCGTTGGTAAGAGTGATAAACACAGAGCACTTATTGACCCCCTCTTCAATGCTGACGTCCAAACGCAGTAAACGTCCAAGCCTTGCAGCAAACCTTAGCTTTAGACTTTGTGGCGTTTGAAGGCCCGCCATTGGCGTTATTCCCATTGCATCGTCGATAAGATCTTGCTCCATTGTCTTAGCTTGAACTGCCAGAATGCCTTGAAATCAATATCGGAGTGATAGGCCGAGTAGGCGTTGTGTTGATCTAGAAGAGATGGAGGTTTGGGAGCCGACGTCAAACTATACCGCAATAGAGATGAGAAGGGAGTGAATGAAAGTGCCCTCCTACGCAGCCTTTATGAGTTAGTAGTTGGAATGCGGTCACGACCTGAGGTGCTTTACCATCTGTCGTTTGCAACGTGAGCAAACCAAGGTGAGAGACGGCGAGAAATTATTGAGGAGTAAAAGGATAGCGGAGTAGCCATACGGTAGAGCGTGTGACTGCTAGATTGGGCGGTGCGTTGTTGTCGAGCGTTTGATTAGGAAATACTGTTGTAGAGGCGCGCAGCAGCAGTGACAAACGGCAGGTGAGATGAGAGGGGCGATTATTTTCGAAAAAATGAATGCGTGTAAAGGCACGGCAAAGAAGAACAATCTACACCAGCAACGGCTACTGCCTGACGAAGTGATGCAATAGGATTTGCTTATATTAACCACGAAGAAAAATGCATAGACACTACTACTACTACATGAAAGAGATGCAACGAGATGTTATACAACACCAATATACTTTTGCACGTCGTCACAATTCTTCACTCTACAGGTACGAGGCTCCCATCCCTCTTGATCCTCTTCTGACCCTAACACATAACACCATATAAATGCAATCCCTCACCCCCCAAACCCAAAGACCTCTGCAACACTAAGCAGACTCATTCTCGCCCCCCAGAAACTCACCAAAATCCCCACAACCTCCACAGACAATAACGCTACACTACCCACCATCCATCTTGGGCTAAAAATGCGATAAAGCATCAGATGCCTCCTCAGATGCGCCGCCCAAAGCGTCGTTGCAAGATTGACCGTCGCATAGAACAATACATGCGTCGCCAATCCTTTTGCCAACGTGCTCAAGAGAGCCTTGCGCTGCGGCTGAACCTTCCACAAGACCAAACCAGGTACGGCAACTGCACACAAAATCTGCGCACCAAAGGTGTTGAGCAGCACGACGATGGGTGTCCTACCCTTGACTGCCCCTAATGCTATCTCCAACGCCTGCGCT